GAAAGAACGATTCATTGGAATAGGATAGTTTAATTTACTGTGTGTGCCATGTGTTGTAATGTATTTTTTTGTTCAATGTGTACCAATAAAAATAATCATGTGAATTAAAAAAATCCACGGTGATATGTTTGTTCCCTAGCGCCCCGCATTGAGAGTGTTGGAGAGGAGTGGGCTGGGGATGGTAGGGGAGGGTATATAAGGGGTTCAAAACGTCCAAAGGTGGTTCATTCGCCCTTACCGTGCAGTATGATACGGTTCAGAGCGCCGCTGACTCTCTTTGCAGTTGGTCCCAGTGGCAGTGGAAAGTCCAAGCTAATTTTTACACTCTTAAAAAATTTGGATAAAGTTTGTTATGGCAATTTTAAACATATTTTATGGTGTTACGGAGAGATTAATGGGGTCCCACCTAAAATCCGAGAGGACCCTCGGATAGACATACACGAAGGGCTGCCGGAGAGTGACATTTAAATTCAGATTCTCTCGTAATTTTGGATGATTTAATGTCTGAATGTTATAACCAAACATTGAGTGATTTGTTTAAACGCGGTGGCTGCCACAGAAGAATATCCATCATTGTCATTACCTAGAATCTTTTTTACCAGTCAAAACATTTTCGGAGCATCAGTCTGAGCACGAGGTATTTCCTTTTCCTCCGTTACGTGAGGGACCGGTCTAGTTTCGGCAATCTAGCTCGTCAAAATTCCCCGAAAATCCAGGTTCACTCTGTTCTGCCCTGGAGGATTGTTGGTCGAAACCGTGGTCCTATCTTTTAATTGACCTAAATCCTCGCATGGCCCTCCGATAAGTTAAAATAATTAACGCTAATTCGCGCTCGCTGAAACAGCTCAAAACGAGTGCCCAGAGTTTTATTCACCTGCCTGAGTGCGCGAGTGAGCGAGTGAGTGTGTGAGTGCGCGTGGCTCCATGTCGTGTCGTGCCCCTGACCCTAGGCCTTCCCACGGAAAAAAAGTTGTCGAGGTTCGAGTCTCATTTTAAAGAACACACCTTGCCATGAATTTTGGTAACAGTCCGAGCTCTGTACGACGAACAAGCTGGGCCCGCTCTTCCGCCAAACCAAGTTGCCAGCTCCGCTTCGCTCCACCGGCAACTCGGTTCGTGTCGTAGATGCGAGAGCTAGGGGTGTTTGAGAGTATAGGTTGAGAAGGGAGAAGTCCGTGGTTAAGGGCTAGATAACCCCTCACTTACAAAGCTAGGGCCAGAAGGTGTCGCCGCTCTGAGTGGCTGCCTACGACTGACGACTCGCGGCCAGGCTTAACGCCGCGAGCGTTCTATGCAATATCAGCATTTCCTCTTTACGACTGTGTCGCTCCCCGACATGCCCCCCCTTTTTTTCGAAAAAGCGTCCTCGCTTTTGAAAAAAATGACTGCACCAAAAAGGGAAGGCGAAATGCTGATTTTCGTATGCGAAAGCAAAAAAAAAACTTAAACTCAAATGAAAAGAAAAAACAAAAGACAAAAAAAAAAAACACAATGACAAAACACCCTAGCGTGGCCTGATTCTACAGCTTGGCAAGTAAAAGGTGGTATATAATTCAAAATTAGGTTACAAAGATTCTTCTTGAAGTTTCCTAGTATCCTTGATTAGGTCCGAAAAACAATTAATGAGAATCAAAACGGAATTAACGAAAATGAAGTCCAAAAGAAGTTCCAAATGCTGAAGACGGTGAAGTCTGGAGGTCACACGACGACGGCGACGTCGGCGTCCCGAAAGCTGACCTCGCGCTCTTCGCGGCTCGACGCTTCCACACGAGCGGTAGCCTCGGGGTTCAAACGTGACCCGTCATTAGCCCCCCTGCAGCCCCCACGCGTTACCATGCGAGGCCCACAGGTTCGTGCTTCCACGCCGAAAACCTGGTCGCCCGAGTCTGTTGTTATAGCGTCGGCCACCGGGTACTGCGTCAAGCGGCGGACGGTGTTGACGAGATGGCAGGCGGTCCTCTTGTCGCATGTCGGCACCCCCCCCTCGATTCAGAGGTACCTCCATGCTTGTCTCCAACAAGTGACAGTCAGCGCAGTGCGCTGCATCCCGCACCGGTCTCGCAGGTTGTTGTGATGACGAATGCAGCGGAGAGAGCCGTGGAGTATCGCCGTCGCGGTGAGTATTCACGTGCACGGCCGTGCGGTGACATCACGTCACGGGCCCTCGGCGAAAGCGCTGACCCCCGCGAAGGTGGCCACCCGGGGCTGTTGACGCGGCGCGAACTGTAGGTCGGGCCGCGGCATAGAGCCGGCAACTCCGAGCAGCGCACCCACGAGGCGCGAAGTCAGCTCCTCGCCGACGAGACGTCGCGCCACGTAGGGACGCGACACGCGGGCACGACCGAACTCGAGACCACGAAGTCAATAAGTTCCAAAATAAACCGAAATCCTTGAGTCGGAAAACACACACTCCTACGACGACACCCCCGGAGCCAGCGAGGTCCGTGAGGAATCGTCCATCCCAAAACACACAGAGTCACCCTCTCATGCAGGTCCCGCTCCAATACAAAAGTTAAGAATAAAAAAAAAAGGGAAAAAACTACGGAATCTAAAAAGATGGCTCACTGCGAAGCTGGCTAGACTCCACAAATCCCACAGAAGTCATACCAGTCGAGTATCACAGTCGCGTTTCCGCATGTAGGCTGGACCCTTATAGGCCCGGCTGCAGCCTGTACGGCACGTCTCTCTATCAGTCGCGTTACCGACGCCAAGCGTCCTCCGGCCAAACACCCGGGGGGACCCTAAACAGGGCGGCACTATGCACTCAAATCAGCAAACAGGGTGCGGCAACCGAGGCATCGGCGACGTGGCGTTCTGTGACGGTCACGCCCCGACCCAAGTGGGCTCAAGCGGGCTCAAGAACCTTAACAGCCATCATGCCGGCCCTATCGCTCTGCTGCGAGCAGTGCACGGTAGACGAGGCGCCGGATAAAAAACGCCGGAAATCCCCGAAAAATAAAACCCCCTAGGGACCGAACCAAAATTATT